CCCCACCTGGGCAATTTGGCGAGACCTCGTCTCTACAATAAGTCAAAGAATTAGCCAGGCATGGTAGCGCGCGCCTGTAGTTCCAGCTACTCGGAAGGCTGAGGCGGAAGGATCACTGGAGCCCAGCAGTTCGAGGCTGTGGTGGCCAGGAGCGGCCGCTGCCCTCCAGTCTGGGCGACCGAGTGAGACTCCAACTCCAAAAAAAAAAGCCATTGGAGAGTGACTTTGAGACAAGATGCCCTTTACCTAAGTACTTCATGGTGCATTCTGTGAAAAAAGAGCATCCTCTTACATGAGCACAGTGTGATTCTCAGAATCAGGAAACTAACATAGATGCAATATGTTATCTGATCTACAAGCCTTTTTGACGATTTTAAAACTGGCTCAGTAACGTCCTTAATAACAAAGAAAACCCCACTCATCTGCTCAGATTGTGTGTTGCATTCAGTCGCCATGCCTCTTACTTGGTTTCAGATTTTGAAGAGTACAGTTAGTCATTTTGTACTTGAGTTCGTCTGAGGTCTTCTGTTTCTTCATGATTAGGTTCAGGTTATATGCACTTTCGTCGGAAATAGCAGTCCTTTACATTTTTAAAAACGTTTAATTTTGAGATAATTGCAGACTCACTTGCATTTGTAAGAAATAACACAAACCCAAAGAGAGCCTCGTGCCCTTCCCCCGTTTCCCCTCAGCGGCAACGTCTTGCGTCCCTGTAGTAAATATCACAGCCCAGGCATAGACGTGGGTACAGGCCACTGACCGTACTGAAGCCACAGAAACCTTCCCATCCCTCCGGTTTAATTTGTACTCGTTGTGTGTGTAGGGGGAGGGGTTCTGTGCGATTTTATCACCCATGTAGGTACTGACTCTAGTTTCGTTCCATTATGATCACGTGAGCACCACCATCAAAATGCAGAGGAGTTTCATCACACTGCTCGTGCCACAGTCCCACTCCCCTAATCCTAGCTACCTTGAATCTCCATCACTTTGTTGTTTCAGGAGTGCCACCCAGATGGCATCACAGGGTACTAAGCCTTTAGAGTGTGGCTGTCTCCACTCAGCGCTTGGCCTGAGAGCCTTCCGAGGTGCTGCAGTGACAGGAGCTGACCCCTCTTGCCGCTGAGTGGTGTTCCGTGACTTCGATGCACCACAGCGTAGCCGCTCGGGGCTGTTTTCGGGTTTGGGCTGTTATAATAAAGCAGCTGTGAACTTGCGTGTGCAGGTTTCTGTGTTAATAAAGGTTCCACTTCCCTGGGATAAATGTGAATTTCTGAGTATACTGTAAATTTTAAGTGTGCAGTTTTGGGGTTATTATGGTGAGCACATGTTTAGTTTTATAGGAAACTGCTGTGCACTCATGCAGTGTCTGGGCCGTTTTACGTTCCCTCTAGAAACAAGTCACTGGTCCCGTTCCTCCACATCCTCAACAGCATCTGGTATTTTCATCATTTTTTAAATTGTTAGCCATTACACTAGGTGTGTGGTAGCCTTCCTGGTGGTTGTCATTTGCATCTAATGGCTGCCGATGCTGGATGCCTTTCCGTGCGCTCATGTGCCATCTGTGTGTCCTCTTCAGGGAAATGTCCGTTCGTGTCTTGTGCCCATTTTCTGCCCAGATTGTTTTTTCCTGCTGAGTTTCGAGAGCGCTTTACATATTCTTGATACAAGTCCTTTGTCAGACATGTGATTGCAGATGTTTTTGTCAGCAGCTTGTCTTTTCAGCCTCTTGACAAGGGCTTTTGAAGAACACAAATGTTTGGTTTTGGTGACGTGTGAGTTTCTCTGGTGACGTGTGAGTTTCTCTGGTGTGCGTCCAAAGCTCTTGACGTCGCCTAGATATCCCGAAGATGTTCTCCTTTTTCCCCCGAGTTTTCTTTTTTAACGCCTCACGTTTAGGTCTGCGATCCACCTGTTTTGGAAACTCCCCTCTGTGCTCACAGAAGCGCTCAAGTCTGCAGTCCATCTGCTTGAAGCCCTCCTCTCCTCCAGTGTGAGCACTTAGTGCCAATGGCCCGGCTGTGCCCTGCGTGTTCTGATAGACTGTGTTTTCGTTTCCATTCCGGTCTATGTATTCTTTCTTTTGAGACTTCCTCTTTGACCCATGTATTATTTAGAAGTATACTGTTTCGTTTCCCGTTGTTTAGAGATGTTGCTGTTGTCTTCAGGTACTGACTCTAGTTTCGTTCCATTATGATCAGGGAAGTGCTTCATGTGATTTTCATTCTTGTCTGCTTCTTGAGCTTTGTTTGGGGACCTGGGATGTTGTGTGTCTCGGGGCGTGTGTCCTGCATGCCGGGAGGTGTGTGTTCTGCTGCCGGGTGGCGTGCCAGGTGTCGGTGAGCTCCGTGTACTCAGCTGCTCCCGGGCTCCCAGGGAGCCAGGCCGGGAGGAGAGTGTGCTGCTCCCTGCATGTGGCTGGAGGAGAGTGGGGGTGCCGGTTGGCTGGCCCAGGGCCGCCTGTTCCTGGCCCGGTGACTGGGGAGGCGAGCTTTGCCTGGCTTCGTTCTTGCTTCTGTTTCTGGCCAGGGTGGCAGCAGGTGGCAGAAGCTGCCGGGTGTGTGCAGGCAGCAAAGGGCCCGGGAAGCCACCTGCCAGTGAGCCCTGCCCTGCGAGGCCCTGGACAGCCCCTCCTGCCATGCTGCAACCTGCTGGGTGCCTTGTGTGGAAGATGAAACCCAAGGTCTGTCTTTCAGCATGTGGCCACATGAAACCCTGAGGGTGAAGTGGTGCGCGCGCCCTGCAGGAGGCCGAACAGCATG